CCGCTTCTTTTTCGTTTGTTTACATCCATTCCTGCAAGGTAACGCCGCAAGGGCCTCAATTGTGCCATTCTGCTGCTTGGTTCCGAGGTCGGGGGCCCAAGCTGGCACGCGTGGCTGAGGCAGCTTCGTGCCTCGTTTGGGCCAATGTGGAAGCTTCGCTATTCTGGCCTGAGCATGGCGCCTTGCAATGACTCCATCACGGCAAGCTGCATCAACGGGGCACATGATCATGCTCATGCTCGGTGACTGCCGTTTCCCTTCCGTTTCCCACTTTCTAGGCTTCACGTCTCGTTACTGCCCTTTGCTTTTACCTAACGCATACTGCCTCATGGAGACCTTTGAAAGCTCCATGATAAACTGCTCCCAGCTTGATGGGGAATGAGGATCCCCAATGGGTCCTCCAAGCCGTCAGCTGCCACAACGTCGCCTCCGTACCTTAGACCCCCAAGCCTCAATAAATCCCGTCCCAACAAGTCTGAGATGCCGCTGCATCTCGCGGAGAATTGACCGTATGACCTGGAATTCCGCGTTTCAATCTCGGTCCCCGAAACCCCTGGACCGGCCAAGCTTGTCAGGTCCGAGTCAATTGACCAATGGCCCCCACCCTGCTCACGCGGAGAGCTTTCTAGAGCTATCTCGAACCCAACTTCGCCTCCCCCGATCTCGCAATACATCCCACGCTGAAGCCTGCTTCGACTGCTCAACTGCCTTCCAACTTCAGACATGATTGGATTCAAGGGTTCGATTCGGCGCATGGATCGGAGAGCTCACGAGCAACAGAGAGATCCTCTCTCTTTCGGCCCTGTCCATCGATTGACAGCTTGTATGTACAGTACATACATATGGACACATCCGCTAGCCCCCCTGACTCGCACGAATCGGTTCCCCGCCGTCTGTGCACTTGGCAACACTCCTCCCATTTACCCTGCAGCTGGTTGTCTCGACGGCGCGCTTGACGTGTCTCCCATCTACCTGCCGCATTCCTATCAAGGCTGTCATCCCATTCGTCAGTTGACAACCGGCCGATGGGGGCCGGGTCCATCTTCTAACGATCTCCGGCTCCGTTTGCCAGGCTTTACTACCGCTCGGCCCTATTGACTTTATCTGGTCCGGATCTACTGTCGTATCTATCTGGGGCTCTATCTTCTGCGGGCCAGATAATGCTATCAGTGTGCGTGGATTATATAGTCATGCCGACGATTGCGGAATCGATGTTGGCAAGATTCTACCCGTAGAGTCACGAAGGCAGAATTGGCAGGTAAGTGACAAGGCGATTTCGGAGTGCTCGTCATCCTGAACTGCCTCGTTAACAGCGGGGTCCGGTCGCTATCGATGGAGCTCGACGCAAGCGGCCACGCCTCAGCTTCCCCACGGGTCCCGTGACAGTTGTGCCGTGATTGTCCCACTTCTACCCTCGCATCGATCAGTCTCGACCTAGTATCGCTAAGGATTGTGTGAGTCAAGTCTGTAATCACGACAACTTGCCGTGAGGCCTCAAGCTTTCTCTGTACAGCAATGAAATCTGATCGGCGTCGTCGTGATTGAGTCATCGAATCTTCGTCAAAGTTCCACGCTACAACTGTCGACTCAGGGCGTCGCCCTCAACTTGCCGGAGCCCATCTTTGCGCATTTCCAACCCGCTAATCTAGCGACATCATTCTCTTTATCATGAACTACTCATTATAATATGGTGATAATGTCGTGATAAAGAAATTTCAAGATATTTGCATTCAATTCGCTCTCAGGGTCACCACTGAGGCTTGGTCACACAATGGAATCGATTTTGGAACATGACTCTTGCGTCCGTCGACCATCCGAAGATCGCTTCCGAGGCCTTGGAGCCACGTTGTTCTTTACACTCTGCCCAGGAATACTATACTATCATCACCGTCAATTGCCTTGACAACTTACTGTGCGCCCAGATCAGCCGACGCAAGCCCAGACGAGATCTAGGCAACTTGAACTGAGATGTACCTCACCACGCTTGCTCTTCTCCCCATTTCAACCTGGCCAGCTAAGATTCAAGTTATCGATTTAAACTTTGAGTATTCCTGTTCAGGTGAACATAGAAATTAGTTGAAGAATAATCGTTGCATCTAGTGGTCTGTTGCTCCTTAAGATTGACTTGATGAGACTCACCTCGTCCTGTGAGCCAGCTGAGCGTCGACGCATCTCGTAGTTGTTATCAGGATATCATCCACTTGAATAAAAGAAAAGAAACATTTCTCCTGACAGTCATGTAGCATTTCAGCTATCTTCTAGTAAAGACCACGGCGATCTTTGCTTCTTGATTCTGTGAAAGACAAGGTTGATTCCGATTCGGGCTTATCTGCTTCTTTCCTGGCAGACTATAGTGCCATTTGCCCATAGCTGGTCACATAAAGTTCGCTAAGGCGTGAGCTCAAGCTTAGTTTGAACTTCTGGAAGGGACCTACGACAACTGTCAGTCACAAACTTGTCTTGGTGGATCCTCGAGTCCTCGACCATGTGCCATCACAACAGATAAAGCAGAAAGCAGATGTGTATGAGCACAAGGCCTGGCATTGCCATATACGCAACAGGCGAAGGTATTTCATTCGTTGATAAGATCTGAGATAGTGTTTCCCTAGTCAGTGGCCGGATGCGTTGAGACGAGTACTTGCAGTGTTCCTGGAGCAGGAATGAGGATTTTCCTGCCGCCGCGCATGTTGCTACTTGGTCAAGATCACCGAATTCACCGAAATCTTCCACCGCTTCACGCTGCAATTATGTATGAAGAAACACAGGACCCATTCCACCACATAGGAGGTACCTGGCGATGACAAGGGTGGATAGCAAGGCTGAACTCAGCGAACGAGGGGGGTTTGACAATGAAGAATCGTCCAGACTTGGTGAATAGCGCCAGACTTCATTGCTAGACCATTTAACAAGATCCGTCAATGACGACGAAGAAATGATCTCGGATATCAGGCGGGTGACTATGACATGGTGTTCCAGACCAGTACTATTTCACTCGGCTCTAGTACATGTCTTGCAAAGATGAGACGGACGACCGACGTCTCGACAGCGGTTTTGCGGCTCTTTGAACCCGGTATGTTGAATGTCAGCGTGACAAAGAGTCGTCAAATCAGCTTCGGAGTTCCCGAGATATCAAGGCTAGTAAGGGGCAACGTCGCATTCCGAGCTCGGGATTACCCACCTATCACATTACATGGGAGTGATTCAATCGATGCTAATATCTTTGCAAAGACTTGCAGCAATCCGAAGAGTCTCCCACGACTGAGATTGGCACACCAGCGGAATGATGTTAGCTGCAAACGCGGCATGCAAGATCGCTTGTCAGTAGAAGCAAGAGATTGATCAACTGTCAAAAACTGTCCGTATTGTACTGATTTCTGAGTCTGACTTGGGTACATAACGTGTCGGCAGCTTCCGAACATCAACATCTTCATGCCCAACAACGAGCTCAGATTGCCCTATACCCCTGCTGCAAGAAGCCTCGAAGAGCCAGAATCACCATTCGTCCCATGTTGAGAGATACAAGTACAGCCATTATAACGCCACTCTATATTATTAATGATCGTTCGTGTGAGACGTCAACGTAAGCAACACACAAAAACCCAAAATTCTGGAGTCCACAAGCTATTATCTCGGATCATCTCAAACAATTTGCCACAAGCTGAACAACCACAAGTTTACGGCGCTTCGCGCACATATCCAAGAATAAACGATGTGGCCCAAAGACACTGCAGATCTAGCCGCGTCCCCTTCACAGCCACACACGTTTCAACGCAGGCGCGCTTCTTAGACTTGCTCAAGCTTCAGGTTCGTCAAGAAAAAGCTTCATTATTTACGCATGAATAGGGAGGCTTAGATATCTCCAGGTTACATGTACGAGCGTCCTAAACAGAGCTGGTCTCGAAAGCTTAGCATGGTGAAGGAAATAGCATCAACTAGGAAGGCAGGTAATGGAGCCCGTCCCAGGAGCCAGTAATCTTTGCTTGCTCGCCAACATCTCCTTGGACCCCCAAAATGGAACGAGGCTAAAAATGTCGTTGTCGTCGAACAGGGTGCTGACGTGAGTCGATGATGAGTAACATCCCGCTTTGAAAGATCAACCCTCCTCCATCCACACACGGGTTTAACAGGGCTGAGGCCAGATGTATGCATACGCAAACAAACGGCTTGCGCTACCGGCAAGGTGAGGGTATAGGCAAGGGGACCAACAAGCCTTGTCCCTTCTCCTTTAGCTTTACTGTTTTTTTTTTTCTGGCTTGTCGGCCATTCTTGCTTAACGGTTGACGGATTTTATCCCGGTGAGCCAATTACAAAAGCCCCCAAAAGCTTGGGAGGTTCAAACCTCCGCCCCGGAGCTGGGTTCTTCCCACGAGGATCTCGGCAAAGCCACGCACACCACACACAGACCTTGAGGTCCCCCTCCCCAAACTCGAACCCAGGTAAAGGGAGAATCACCTGGCATATACCCATTCCAGAATCGCATGTAAGTATCTCACCAAGAAAGCTCACTTCCGTCCTGCATTAAGAGATTGATCTGCAACCCACCCTCCCTCTCGGATGGCTGTACCTTAGCATGGTGATATTTATAAACGTAAAAACCCCCATCTTCCCAGCTGAACAAGGTTATCAAGAACTAGGCAGAGACCGAACCCACACCCGTTGTCCTCTCCGCCCCCTCTCCCTCGGCCATGCAGACCGAAAGGCTCCCTCTCCAGACCGAGGAAGAAAGACCCAAGGAGGAAAGAAGAAAAGATCTCTGACCGAGAAACTTACAGACCGGGGAACTCTTGTACGATTCTATCGTCATTGAGTTGCGGGGTTGCCTATACTAGTCCCAAAGTTTGAGAATCCCACAACAAGGTAATTTGGAAATGCGCAGTCTTGGATGGGAATCTCACGTGTCATTTCATATTCTCCTCTCGACTAAACTTCCCTAAAGTTTGTTCTCCCATTGCCCCCCACCACCACCACCATCCGAGCCTCCCCTCTCTTTGAACGAGTGTGTAAAAGACTAATTGTGTGCATCGTGACATTCGAATGCGGGGAAAGAATTTCCTCTCGGAATGGCCTCCCATCGGTGTCATCATCATCAAGAATAGTGGAAACCAGACTCCGATATTCCCAAGAAACGCCAGATAAAACAAGAACAGAAGTAGAATGAAGTCCGATGCCAGCCAGCCCATGTTTTCCATCTAATAATAGAGCCAGAAATCTCAAGCACGCCGGGACCCAAAGCAAACAACAAGAAACCAAGAAAAAACAAAGCTGATGAGAAGAGTGAATGTGATGAAAAGAGAAAAAATCAGGCGAACCTCCGCATTCGTCACGCCAGTCGGTCGTATTCCATCCGTACGTTTTTGACAGTCATGTCATTCGATTGCGCGTCCATATTTTGAGCATCCGATCTTTTCTTCTTTTTCCTCGAAAACGAGTGGGATATTCTTCGCGGCCCCTGTTTTTGCGTTTCCCTTGCCGCTCGCTCAATTGCCCATTATCCGACCCCTCTCTCTCAGGGCAGCTTTCCCACTCTTTAGAGGGTGTAAGTCTGCATATCCTGAAACATGAACATGTTGTCCGCGAATTCCATCGCGCCTGGGTGTGACGACATGCCCATGTGGGCGGCGGCCGTCGGATCGTAAGCCATTTCCGGCGCGGCTGGGTGTCGCGGCATGTGTTGATGTTGCTGTTGTTGCGCCGCCCTCGCTTGCGCTCCCCGAATCTTGATGAACTCGGCGTGGAGGGCAGAGTAGGCTTGGCTGAGGGAGTCATTCTTCTGCTTCTGGTCTGAGAGCATGACCTCGAGATCCTTTATGCGCTGATCTTTGCGCTCGCGGTATGCTCTTTGTGAGGCTCTGTTTTGTGCTCGACGACGCTGTTGAAGATTTGGGTTAACCCACTGCTACAATTGAGTTGACGTCAGGTCTGAAACCTACTGAGAGCACCGAAGGGGGCGCATTCTTGTACCGATTTTCACGCTTTCTCTTAGCTGGGCCCTTGCTTGTTCCAGCTTTCTCGTCCATGGTAGGCTGAGGTGATGCTGTATCGCGGGAGGAGCTCATTGGGCTAGGATAAATGCCTTGGTCGGTGCCATTGAAGTCGTTTACAAAGGTCATGTCAAACTACGACACGCATTGGTCAATTTGAAATCTTTTTCTTTGCGAATCAGGTTCCAACTCACGGTAGAGATAATGGGGCTCGTTGACTCAGATGAGCTGGCAGTGTCCAAGTACTGCTCTGTTTCGTCATAAACGTACGGTGCTTCCATATCCAAGAAGGCGTCCATGTCGTCGTACATGTTGAGTGGCAGTGAGTGGTCCATGTGTAATGATTGGGTGGCAGTGGGGCGAGGCATGGAAGAGTTATGGGGTGTATGAGGTGGGAAACGGGTCGACTAGATGTTGTCTCGTGGTCCAAGGGGTGTGAAGTCTGGGCGAAGAGTAGGATGATATATACGAGGAGGTAGATGGGCAACGCGTCGTCTGGAAAGGTGTGTCTGGAAGGTGATGTGTAATGCGAACTAAGCTACACCATGATGCTTTGCAACCGGGCTGGGAGGAAATATATATGGCGCGACGCATGGGAGAAGAGACGCAGCAGACAAAGCTAGGCCCCGGACAGGGTGCCGGTATGTCAAGACTCGGGGAAACTAGTTAGCAGAGCAGAAGCTACATGCACATGTGTGAAAGCAGCATCCTCTGGTTCGTAAGTACGTAGGTAAGCAACATTTTGACAGACATTGCCAGGACCGCAACGTACATACCGGCAACGCAACAATCCAATGGGGTCCAGGGTCGTCGATTGGGCCCCAGACAGCGCACCAACTCGTGGGCTGCTTAGAAGCATAGCAGTCCCTCTCGCACCCTCCTTGTCCCTGGTCCCTGGTGTGGTGCTCTGGGTAGCGTGATGGAGAAACCAAGAGCGAAAGAAGAATCGCCGCCGCCGCCATTCTGGGCCTGGTCGAAGAGCTTGAACCGGGTGGAGGGGTGGTGATGGTGCGGGCAGGGATGAGTATGGAGACCGCCGCTGTCTTTTTTGCATCTGCCAAGGACCCGCTTCGAACGGGCTGCGATGTTGCAAGGGGTCCCAGCAAGACGGAACCAGATTTGAACGGGTTGACGGGGCAGGACGGGAGACGGTGCGCAAAGACGGAGGTGAGGGGTCGAGTAAGCCGACGCGGTGCCGTTTAGCTTTGGCTCTGCCGCCGTTGCATGATGCTGAGCCTTCTCGACCACGACGTCGTGTGTAGGCCAGTTGGGATAGCTCTGCGTCTTCAGGTTCTTAATCTGACGAGTCGAAAATTCAGACGACAGGTTTACGAAAGCATCGCCGCAGCCAGATCTAGCCTCTTCGTCTGGTCTGCTAGATTCTTCATGATCCTAGCCTCAGCGAGAAGAATTTAGAAAACCTGGAAAGGCAAACGTCCGTGGTCTCGCCTCTTCGGTCTCCTCTTCGGTGAAGACGACGCCAAAGTTATCTTAGACTCGCTTCTTCGGTGCCAAAGAATCATGCTCGCTGCGAGTCAACAGCAACGCTGCATTGCCAACGGTTTTGAGAATCTTTTCTACAAGCCCATCCATGGCTTACTGAGTTGGCCAATCCGTCCGGCATGCAAAAGGTGTTAGTGACTGGCGCTGGAACCACGAAAGCAGTCTCTGAATTCGTCGACGTCGCCAAAGACCGAGAAGGCAGGGGAGGGATGTGGCAAGTTGGTGGGCTGCTGCCGAGCGTAGGAATCGCAATCCCGCCTTTTGGGATTCGTTTCCCAGCAGCAAAGCTTTATTCTGGATAGACTTCTCGTTCTAAAGGGCGGAGCCCGATTTGGAACTGAGCTGTAGGGGGGGCAGCACAGTAAGGGTGTATGCATAACGCGGCAGCAGCTTGGTGCATGCCGTTCTGTCGCCGTTCTCCGAGGGATCTCGAAGATGAGATGCCCAGTGCGTCAAATACCATTATTGGGTCGCCTGCTGGGGCGAAGAACAGGACGACATACTCCGAGATTGGATGGAGCGTTGTTATGTCTGGTTGATGACATGTAAAGTTGCTTGACGGTGGTGGCTGTTACACACTTCGGCTTGCCCTGTTGCCCATGCCAAAAGTCCTTTCCTTCTGGGCGTTCGTCTCAGTCACAGCCGGCACAGACTCGGGGCTGCGGTATCTTGTCGGCTTCTAGCGAGAAGAAGTGCCCAAGCAATATGACGAAGGTGATGACTACGTTGCACAGGCTCCGCATGCTTCCGAATCCCACGAACTTGGGTAAGAGTTGCCAATGCTACTGAACCCCAAAAGAAGCTGTCTGCGTTTGCTGTTCTTTCCGTATGCATTTTGTTACGAACCACACCTACAATCAATGGTATGCAGGAAAGCGGCACATTCACCGCGTGAGTGCAGCTTTGGCAGGGGGTCGTTGCCTTGCCAGGCTGGCCCGGTCCCAGGACCCAAAGCTAAGGTACTCCGCAATGCCAACAATAGAAGCCTCCTCGAGTCTCGCTTGCGAACAAACGGGCACCTTACGTCAAAACTGCTGTGACGGGTCTGTCAGCTGTCAATGGTGGTTGGACGTCTTCTGGATAGACTTTAACTCGGTCGGAGCTAGGGCGAGGCAGCTAGAAATCCTACACTAGGATACAAGAGAGATGCTGGTGGGATCCTATACGCACTTCCCAACTTAATTTCCGCCAGAATGGCCAATCCCTCCCGTCGCTCTCTTGATCTTGATAGACGGCATGGTTTACCGATATGTATCGAGGAACCTTGCGACAGTGTTGCGACGCTGTGCTTCGGTCTACGGCGCATTCAGCCAGTCGGGACAGGGAGTGTGGTGTGGAACAACATGCGAGAAAAAGAGAGAAAGAGGGGGCGCAAGTAACATGGGATTTGTCGTCTTCTCCAATTTCCTCCAAATCTTGTGAGAGTGGACTCTCAATCCGGGGTGGGACATCGCGGACAAGTATCCGATGAGAGGTGGTGTTGGTCTAGGCCGTGGGGTCAATTCTGCAACATTGGCATAGTGGAACACTTGGGAACTTTGTGTCTTCTCATCCGCCCATGTCTAGTGAAATTCGCAAGGACCGACGGTCGAATACCTTGTTGCTCCTTGCTCTTGCAGCACCCGTATATTGCACGGATCTTCATCTGATAAGCGGTGGCCCTGCCATGCCAGTCTGTCTGATGTCTTTCGCCCCCACCACAGCCACAACTCAACCATTTGAGGCTTGGATTTCTTATATCGTATAGTGTAAGCGATGAATCTCGGTCAAAAGAAGGGAAACGTTGCCTCATTCCTTGAAGGACTCATTGACCAAACTGTGAGGAAAGTTGGGTACTGAAAATGAGTGAAGAGCGTGTCCATTGGCGTTCAACGGGACAACATGAGTGTGATGTGACCTGTGTAGTGGAATTCCGCCGCACTAGCGGGCGTTGTTCTCTCATTGCAACGTTTTGCCGGCTTTCCTTACCAAGACAACTGCTGTTGATCTAATGCGCCGTTTCAAACTGCTCCTCACCGTTATCGTAGTCTCGCTACTCTTTTTTGCGAGTCGATAAGAGGAGGCTGGAGTAAATCGGTAAACGCCGCGTCCGTCTTTCCCCTGTAACATGATCTGATCCGCCGCTTCTCGCAAGCCGTGAGGTGACCTCGTGGTGTCGACCTCATCGTTGCCACCTCTAAATAACCTTAAGGTGAAGCGGCCGAAGATCAACATTCCTGTTCCTCCCCGGATCCGAATCCTATTACTCGCAGCCCGTGCTCCCGGGTGGAACTCCACACCGGAACTCCCGAAAACGGTCTCTTACACTTAGCCTTTAGTTGAAGTCCGCTTCCCAACCGGAAATAGCAGGCCATTGTGACAATTATGGCAACGGAAGGATGCCAATAGTTTGCCGCTCGTTGCATGATTTCTGCGAGATTTGAAGGGTAAGTTTCGCCACGGGCCGGTCGCTATTCTCGAGATCAGGCAGCCATATATTGTCCCTGTTGAAGTCTTCTCGACCCCATTCTCCGCTCCCGAGCTCAGCGGAAGGGCGGGGTTCTATCGCATGGCTGTATTATTCTTGGTGTATTTTCGAACCCTAGTCTTCCACATGTGTACGAACATGCCAATCACAGGCCCAGCTTTGTTTTGTCATGCTGCAGCCGTTAGCGTTACCCGCGTCCCCATTTCCCGTGGAACCATACTTACGGGGATTCGGGCGTTGTCAGGGCGTTCGATGGGTAGTAGCCCCCATAATGCGAAGGAGGCTGGCTTGGGAACCCGTGGTCTCTGTTGCCTCCACGGCGGGCCATGGATCGTGAGTATTGGTGGGTGACGACAGTCGTAGACTGGTTTATCTGGCCTCGACTAAGGATAGAGTGACCCTTGCCCGGGAAGATAAGACTCAATCCGTAGAGCTGGATTGATGACGGACGGATGAGGTTAGAGCTCGGCCGAGTCAAGTCTATTTTAAAAGCTGCCGACCCACCTTGGCGACAGCAAGTGAGTTGCGGATAGCTGAGCCAAAATCCACGAACGTAGGCCTTGATATACAGTCCCCGTAGCACTCTGCTACGAACCCCGGGCGAGGAGCAGAACAACATAGTCGAATAAGATACTAAGGCCTCGTCCGTCCATGTATCCATGGAGGTGTCTCTCAACTCGGCGTTCGCCCGCAACATGTGAGTTGGTGTTTCTAATGCGACGGGGTACATGCTAGCAGAGCGGAATTCCGTGAGAAACTTCGGGTCCAATCTCCGTCGACTCTTTGATAGGTAGGTGTAGGCGCGCTATCGGCTGTAGCAAGAGAGATTTCTCTGGCAAAATCAAAGGCCAGGTCCCTTCATTGCTGTTCTGCTAATCAAGTGTGATTGCTTGCCCAGTCAAGAGCTGGCCAAGGTGGTGCAACGCAGTTGTCACAAAGGGAAGCACTCCGTTGACTTGATGAGAATTGTTTCGTCCTTGAGATTCGTAGAGCATGAAAGGCAGACTCATCTTCATGTCCAGGTACATGAGCCTTCGCTCTTCATGGCGTGCATGAGCCACGTGCCACGAAAGGCCAGGGAAGGAGGGTAAGGAGAAAATGCGCTTGAGATATGGCGGGATGGATTTCACCCACAAAGATAAGGGCTGCTTCCTGAAGATCGCGGTTGAGCGGATGCCGGCATGATGTCCCGAAATGCCGCAAGCTGCAAAGGGCTGTCACATTTTGTGCCGGCGGCCATATGACCGTCGGAATGTGCCTGCCCTGGAAAGCGAGGACCATGAGATGACGGAAATTCTCGCAAATTTCTGCAAGGCTCTGTCCTTGAGGCCATGACTCGTTATTGGCGACTATATGTTGTTTGTTGTATCTGAAGGTCAACACTGGAAGTCGCAATGGCTACAACAGCAGAATAATACGTGGAAATCGCTTCTCGAAGGCGACCAGACATATGCTGTCTTCAGATTGTCTCAAGACATCAGGCGCCCACGGAGTATATGGAACGGTCGAATGCGCGCCTTACACTGCCAAGATTGTAAACACCGGTGAGAAACGCGAACGGCCTTCAGAGCTCAAGTTCAGAAGGTGCAGTGCTCTCCCAAACCCCAGGAATCCAACGCGACATCAAAAAACTTGACACGATGTGGTAATCCCTCATTGTTGCTGCATGGTATGGCAACGTGAATGACGGTGGCGTAACGAGCACCGTTTTGCCTCGAGACTTTGAAGTTTGGCAGTTTCGTCTCGGGGTCTGCGGGGGCGTGCCACATGGTAGTTTCCCACTATAGATTAGGCAGAAGGAATCTTTGCAAGTCAGTGTCAGATCCCACTCTGCGGCATCCAGGCTGTTCAACCGCTGGTAGGTGGCTGGCAGCGTTTTCTTCGTCCACGAAGACAGTCTCTTTCCATCTCATCCCAACTATTTTCCGAAAAGGGTAATTTTTGTCTGCCCCAGCACTGGACTTACTGGGATGAACATGCAGGGGGTATTGGACCCATCGAGCTGCACCCGCCTTTACGCTAAGCCGTTGCCATTCGCCCCTTTGATTGGTGAGAGCACATTTTGGCTTCATGCGAGTTTCTGGGCACCTATGGCCCCAATTCCGACGATGAGTTCTCTCGGACCGTCAGAATCATGGCCTTGGGCTTCGGGAGTGTTTAGGGGCTCATAGCAGTCCTATGTTTGATCAAAATGTCGCCTTCAATCATGAGAGAGACAGGCTGAGAGACTGTGAGAGGCTGTGGCGGCTTCGTTTCTCGGGCCTCGCGTAGCTCTTCAATACGGAAAAGTGCTCATTCAACGGCTCGGATCAAATTCTGTTGTTTGCAATTTCGTTGCTATTGGTGTAATGGGACTGCCGGTACTGAATCGAGCTTGATTGGATCCGTTTCTGGCTTCCAAGCAACTCGATTCATTTGCCATCTTGGTAGATGGGCGGTGGCTCTAACAATTATGACAGTCGAGACTTCCTGCACCGGATGCAATGATGCTGCTGAATCCGACCTAGTCGAGGTCTCGTGGCCCCTGGTTACCGTCGTGGTATGTCTCCGTCCTCATATGCGCCCCAGTCAAGAATCCTTTGATACGGCGTAGGAAGGCATTAAGACCCCATCATCTACCTATTTTCGGTTCAGATATGCGGACCCATGCGAATCGATTTGAAAAAGGTCCATGTCGATAGAAGGATGCTGCAGAAGCGGCTTCAGGTCTCTGTTGGCCAAGTCCTAGCCCTATGCAGGGTCTTTGCGGGCGCGAGGGGACCATCACTCTCGTCTCTTTGATATGTTCATATGCTCGCCGACATGGGATCCTGATGCCCCCGGTTTGCCCCGGCAATACCTCAAGCGAGGCAAGGAAGACATTCCCCGGGCGGTCCAGCAGTCTGTATGGCCGTATCTCCACAATCCTAGAGTTTTTGAAGTCCCGCTTCGGCCTGAGAGATGCCGGGACCGAAGCCAATCTTCCTGCTCATGTCGATTGCCTGCTGAAAACGCTTTCTTGCGTCCTCCTTCTTTCCCAGTAGGGCAGCGATGTCACCCATGTTTGTGAGTGCTACGGCGCAAGCTTCATCACACTCTTCAGTTCGGTCCTCTCCCTTGACATCCTTTGAGTGTGAGTAAGCATTACTAGCCCAGTTCTTCGCAGCTTCCAAGAGTCCGGCTCGGTCTGTTGGCATGTCGGGACTGACTATTGCGTCGGAAGTGGCAGGCGCGTTGGGAATGGCGTCCAGCGGGGTCTGAAGAGGATGGTGGGCAAATGCTGCAGCCAGATTGTTCACTGGAGAGTGTGTCAGTTTGATTTTTTGAAATATACTCGAACTCAAGTCTAGGGTCCTGAGGACATACTGATAGTTACTCGGTGACAAGGGCTAGCACAAAGGCGTAATGCTTGAAATAAGAGAGGTACTGCCAGATGGAACTGGGATTTAGTCTCATAGTGTTGGGCGAGGGCTATTCAACTCTGTCAGTAACCTGAAAGTGGGTACGAAATAGGGGGCTTATGGGAGACTAACACTCCATAGCACCGCCAATTTCTTCTGGGCTCATCCAAGAACCTTCATCCTTCTTGACGCCTTCCTTGTGGCGTCGTTTTGACTCTGTCAGTGCCGTTTCGACGGCCCATGTCAGTCGGGCCAGAGAGTTTTCTGGCTCCAAAACATGCTCGTCCGAGTAGAGGGCACCAAGCTTAGTGCTAGTTCCGACGGCTTTGGCCAGAAGGCGGGTGCGCTTATGCCACAAGTTTTCGACAACCTTCTCCTCGCCATTCTCCGGAACTGCGAGTCGTTGATTCTCCGACAGAGGCTTCGCGGCAGGCGGCTTTCCTGACTTTTCTACTGTTCCATCTGCAACGGAGTTCTCCATCCATTCCACCCACTTGAGGCAGTCTCTGAGCACAGAATCCAACACAGTAATGGCTCCTTGGTAGTTTCCGATCTTTTCGAGCCATGCCGCGGTCTGGATTCTAATGCCCAAAACATCATCTGAGAACGGGTCTAGCTGGAGCTCATTGCATTGTTCCAGTGCTTGCTTGTAGTATTTCCTCGCGAGATTCGGATCGGGACTGATGTTTGTGTAGTAAAGGGCTCGGCGAAGAGATTTGGCGACGGGCTTGGGATACTTGGTGAACTGACGGGCCATAAAGTAGTCGAAGTACAACTTGACGATGTAGATGGAAACACCTGCCAAGCCAGCAAGACTGAGAACTTCGGGTCAGCTAATCATCCTAGAAACAGCGACGGCTTGGGATATCTCACATTGCTAGTGCTAGCACGAGCTCCTCTGGACTTTCTCTGAACATCCTCTTGATGCCTCTCGGCGTCAGGGAAGTTAACAGCGAGCGAAAGGATATCGCCCTCAAAAGCTGACTTGCGGAAGGTGGTGGCGGTGGCGGCGGCGACGGAGAAGAGGCGTTGTTTTTTTTAGAGCCATTATAAGAAGAATTTGAAGTACTCTGGTGTCTCAATTGGGTACGGCTGCACACATTTGAAGCATTCCGAGGTGTGCTTGCTCGTAAAGCTGCTGTGGGCGTTCCGGGCGACCTTGCGAGCTGGCGAAGCCCCAGGCCATTGATTGCCCGACATGCCGCAATGCGCGACACGGCCATTGTTGTCATCAACTGAGAAGCAGGCACACTATCAATTCCCGAAGCTCGATCAAGCTGTGCAGTATGGGCCAAGCTCGTGCGACGGAGCGTGGTGATTGACTGTAATCGGGCGGCTGTCAAGTGACGTATCAATCAAAAATCAATGAGAGTTTCGCCTACATTGTTCGGCAGGTCTGGAGCTCTTGCTCTGGTGGGTCCGTACTGATCAATGCGCGACCAATCACACGAAGGCAGTTACTCCGAGGCTCAGCCAGCAATGTCGCAAGTGCCCCCCACCTTGACCGTGGGGAAGAGCTCCGGGCTCAGAGGGGCAAATACCGAGCTTCTTTCTCCCCGCCATCATCTATTTTGTGTGTAAGAAGTCGACGTCTTCCTAACCCTCGCACTCCATATCCAACATCAAATCGATATCTCAATAACTTCAAGCTTCACAACAGTTCATAGCCAAGCAAAGGCCAGTAAAATGTCTGGAAAGTTTGAGCCCAAGAACCCAGTCACCCTGGCCCCTCCCAAGGATGACCCCATCACCCTCGAGGAGTTGGCCAAGGCCGATGGTAAGTCGAAGTGTTCTTGCCTTTATTTATCCGCTACGAAACTCTCCGGCAGCATGTTTTTGATGCGATCATCTTGAGGGACCTTGTCAGTTGTTGAAGAGAGCGAGGCTCAAGATCTTGCTCGAGCTTCTTTTCCAATCCGCAGTTCATGAACACATGTTTGTGAACCTGGAAACGGTTGCGGCCCAGTCATTTCTTTCGTCAAGTAGTCTCGAAGATGCCTAGATATGTTTGGCCTCACTTGCAACTGTCTTATCATCGTATAGACCCCACGCCAACAATCCTAACAATATAACAGGCTCAGACCCCAATGGAAAGACATACGTCGCGATCAAGGTATTCAAACACGCCGGCGTTCAGCTTTTACGCAAATTTTAATTTTCATGATCCAGGGAATCGTATACGACGTAACAGGTAACAAGGCATACCAAGCAGGAGGATCCTACAACGGTAAGGAAAACATTCATCTCATTTTGGAGTCTATCATGACTGACAACCCTTTAGTTTTTGCTGGAAAGGACGCCTCTCGTGCTCTCGGAAAGACCTCAACAAAGGCTGAGGACGTCAGCGCCGACTGGCAGGATCTTCCTGACAAGGAGAAGGGTGTCCTCAACGACTGGATCACATTCTTCTCCAAGCGCTACAACGTTGTCGGCCGCGTCGCCGGCGCTACCAACTTTGAATGAAGATTACCAAAAGCTCGGCTCTGAAGCTCGAGCGAAGGGTGAAGGAGGTTGTGGGAGAATTGGGAGGCTAGGGATATCCGTCATTTGGCCGTGAGACGTTACCATGAGCGAGTGTAAACGTAAAACATAAAAATGAATACCTTGCGCCAATGATTCCACGACGAGAAGTGAGAGAGAGGACATCTTAGGTGACCCTGGTTACTTTTCTGTTCTGTAGCCCTAGACATTCGTTGATCTCTTCACTCGTCTACAGCTGAAGATGTGTTTCAATGCTACCATGATTTCGAGCCTTCATCGCACATTACAAGGCTCCGATGTAAAGCTGCCTTATACTCAAGGAAGTGTGCGATGAAAATTCCCAATCCATCCATGCACATGTGTTGGAACGTGTACTGCATACGTCGTTCATATGCGATGCCACGGTTCTTGCACGACGTCGCGTCACAGTCCCGGGCGTAAGTAGTTACCCCTCCATCGACGATCGGTGAAATTACGCCCAATCGCCCATGGCAAGTATTTACTTCGACTAAAGAAACAGCCATATTTCGGGCACCAGTTTATATTGAATACGAAAATCATGTGGGTGAGCAGAGATTTCCAAATAATTAAGTCGTTGAACAAATGACAAATGACGTGTCCTAGAGTCACTGCAGGCTCGTAGCCATTAACATCACCTTGCGTTTGAGCTCTTGATCCCTTTTCCTTTGACTTGCCCTGCAGAAAGCTGATCGCGTTAGCAGGGTTCCAAATTCCGTTTCATAGGGGCAGCTCAGTCTCTGGAGTCCCGTTGTACGACATACCTTGCAGAAGTACTTGTTCATCGTGCTTACGCACTCAGCTTAAGCCCGACATCGTATGGTTGGGCACCTTGAAAACCGGTTGTTCCAAAGTAATTCATGCTAAATGAAATGGTTCTTCGTGACATAGAGTATGCTTCTGCCATCTCTGATGGGACCTAGAACGGACGGCGCGAGTCTTGGGACTCGGTGAGCTTGTTTAGGAGATGTCAAAGTATGGGACTCTGCACTCGAGTGTGCAACCTTTGAAAACTGCTTTAGCCCTGTCTAGCTGAAGAATGGTCAGTAGTGCAATTTGGGGAAGTTTTGCCACGAAGTACGAATATTGATGGGCCCGAGGCTTCAGCGAAGCGTGTAAATGGACAACCTCAATCACAGATGAATGTCCTCTTCGTTTCAGGGTTCAGTTCAAGGTCATAAATATTGTCCAGTATCTATCTAATCTTGAAAAGTGTGTAACGAATGCTTGCAGGACCGCTTCGGAGTGAGTCTTAGTACTTTACTCCAAGCACTCCGGAAGCAACAAAACCCAGAAACATCAGACCGATGTCAGTCCTCACGTCACTCCTCATCAAAGTAATAACATGCATAAGCCCGCGTAAGACTTGGGTCGTTCCTACAGAAATCTAGAACCATGTAACACAACTTCTCAGGCTCCTCATCATCCTGCTAGAACAGGGAAACACTGTCATCCAACCAACTTCCTTGTAAGAATTGAGAAAAGAGGACAACTACACTGAGCGTGACCACCAGATACTTTTCGTTCTACCGTCTCCCGACAAATCAAGTAAACCTAATATTCTGTGCGGGGCAGAAATCCTTGCGATCTCTAGCTATTGAAATATCTTCGAAAATCACAGTTGCTCTACAAACAATCTGGCGTACACATGAAGGCCCTGTCTTCACGATATTCGCACCTGACACAATGAATATACTCCATGCCACTCTCCCTTGACGCGCAAGGGTGCTCTCAAAAACTTGAAAGCGACTGGACTGAATTAATGACGACGTTGTTGCTGGCCGCCAATGAACTCCTGCTGACGGTGCTGCCCGGCGGCGAAATGCGGGTGACCCTGGCCCTGCCAAGCCAAGATGCAATTATCGCACGGAACGCTTTGCTGCCACGAGTTGCGAAGAACCTTGACGCCGAAGCATTGGTGGCCGGGGTCGTTGCGGGCAAAGTGGCAGTATGATTTGAGCCGTAGAACGGAGTGGTTGCAGGTGAAGAGGAACTCCTCCCAGTCGCACATCTTGAGATGGGGGGTTTCGGTCGGGGAGTACCTCGTACTCTTTGTAATTTGATCAAACTTATAACAGCAGCTGCGACTCTGAATTAGCTGGTTGAAAACATTATGATTGCAACAGAACGTTAAGATACGTCAAGCCTGGCCGTCCAGATCCGTTTCAAGGGATGTCCTACAACTGAGACTATTCGAATAAAGCGTGATTTTTCAAGAGCCGTGAAAGCTAAGAAGTGCTGCTCAAGGACTTATGATCTGAACGAAGTCGACGATGTAAGTAGAGGTGAGCATGATGAGGATCTCTGTGGTTATTCTTTGGCGACTTCACTTGATCTTATATACATCACATCCCCGAGCTTCAAAGTATCGGCCGCAATAATATCTGTCATTTTTATCTAAAAGCCGATCTGCATATGGACGCAAAGGGCCCTGCCCAAGGATGTTGAGAAGCCTGGGTACATGGCACACTGTGCGTGTGTTGCTGCCATATTGGTGGCATGCCATGTCGAAATGCCTGCTCGTGAGGATGACCAGATTTAACTTGTAGTGGCGGGGGCGAGATCACCCATTACTTACTCCTTGCGAGCTCCAAAAGCTACCTGAGGGAGACTAGCCTTTGGTCATAGAGGTGATGGATCATGCAGGCCGGAAGAGAAGACTGCATCCGTTGGCCGGGTAGATGAAGAGAATGCAGGAACTACTTCGTTTCTCGGCACGAGGCGCTTCGAAGCCTACCTCGGGCCTTGAGGCATAGAATGAAGTCACCAGTCAGCCAGATATACTGATGGAACGCCAGGATGTTCCTTCCACGTACACGTTGCAAAATAGATTAAAGTTGAAACATCTTCAGTTGACATTACGGCTTTGCAGTAGATGTTTATCAACATGTTTTTTAATAACATCGATCTCACGACGTTGAGCGGCCCTCCGGAACCTTACTGGGCCGTCTCGTCAAAACGCAGTGCTGTTCAGTATATCGGCAGATATTTGCTATTCTCAACCGGACAGCCACCACCGTTGTTATTACCTTGTCAGTTGTCAATGGTCTACACTCTTGTTCCTTTCCTCCCACCATCGCATCAAGTTCGTCTCGCAATTGGAAGTAGTGTGTGTGACATGATCAACGTCAAGAATTTGACGGCCGAGAGGGTGGTACCTGTGCCACCCAATCAGTCTAGACCGTCAGGTTGGGATCCAAGTCGCTTGCATCTTGCGGAGCGGCCCGATAGGCGGGTTTAAGTAAGCTGAGAGGGACATTCGCTCCTTGGCAAAGAGCAAACATCGAATATCCGTCTGCGGAGCGGGCGAGCCACCAGGCGAATCCGAAGATACGGCCGAATGATCCCCTTCAAGTAAAATCTATGGATGCCATAATCCTGGAGACGTAAGAACACAATGGAGCCGCGCGGCGCAAAAGCGAAGGCTCATGTGGTGGGGAGTAAATGTCGTGTCCAACATGTTGCACTCGTGATACTGTGCAACAAGGGACAATGCCCCGCTCAGTTGAGCGTGTTGTAATCGCATACATATGTAGCCATCCATGACTACCGATCTTCGAGTGAACGGTAGGTCATCGGAAATAGAGAGCAAGCTCCGAAAGACTCCGTACGCAGCGAAGGTCTGTACCATCGGAGAGCGACATCAATAATGACATATCATATCGTTTCCGAAGCACACTCTCGTTTCCTGTGATGCTTATCCAGCCTGGGTCTTGCTCCCCCACATGGGCGGTCACGCTCCAGGATATGTGCAGTTGCCCAACGAAAACGAGGGGACAGATACACATGGATGGCTGCGTGAGAAGAAGTGCGGCGGAACCGTGAAAAGGGACATTGCGGTGCTCACGGCCGTCAGTGTGTTGCGATGAAGACATTGCTGCTGCGTCGTATTTAAGAGTATGCGCCCTTGCGTAAAGCTTCTCGACAAGCTTGGTCAGCTTCTTTGTTGGAAACAGGAGCGAGCACCGGTGGGCGGATAACCTCAGGTGACTGATAGTTGGCCGAAAATTGGATGCGATGATGCCCAAAAATGGCGGCTCAGGCTCGAGGACGTCGCCTACCTACCTCATTTTCGCAGCCATACAGGTGGTTGCGGCCCGGCTCAATGACAAGGACTGACACTATCGAGACCATGGAAGTACGAATAGATGATAGCCCATGGTCTAGCGATTGCCATCTAAGCCTTTGTACTCTACATTGAAATAGGGGCTACTGATGACCTCATTGGTCTTGAGCGTCCCAGCCAAAATTGGTTGTGTCAGCCGAGAGAGACAAGAGTCGATCTCTCGTGTAGATATGCCCCCAGACAGCAGACTCAGGGTAAACTTTCCGTAGATGGCAGAGCTGTTACATAGGAATGAGTGGGATAGAAAATATGCCCTCTCAAGTTAGGTACCTTGGTTTACGTTCAATCCTAATCGCGTTAATCCAGATATTTCGTTTTCCCTCTGGACTCAGGACGATTTGGAAAAAAAAAAAAAAAAAAAGAGTGTTCAGGCATTCGAACAAATGATCGTGGACCTCGTGTAGGGTCTTTAGCGAGTCTGCTATCTGTTCTTGTCTTTTCTGAACGGTTGTGCTTCGGCTTGCTTTTTCTTGCTTGTTCGGTCGGCCCAGGTTGCGGCGGTGATGGAAGTGGAAAAATGGCGAACCATTTTTTGGGACGCCTGTAAAGGTGCGGTGGTGGTTGCCTTGCTGGCTGCCTCGTGTGGTTGCCTGCATTTCTTTGACTTTGATTGGATGGAATGAGGCGACGGCGTACTCTGCTCACCGAGAATTCCCCAAAAAGCAGGGCGGACAAGCGAATGACTGCGCCCTCGCGGTTGCCTCATTGGCCCGGTCCCCCCAAACTGTTCCCCCAAGCCGCCGTACCTTCCTCAACATCAGTCACGCCCTTCATCCTCTTCCTCATTCCTGGCCGCCAACTGACTGCCTTTCCTCTCGCCTGAATGACTACAAGTCCTGCCCGTGCCCATATCGCCTGAACAAACCTTCGCGCTTCTTCCATTTTGTCGTCTTTCACCCTGCGATTTGCGTCCTGCGATACTTCGCCCACTCGGTCGCCCAGCTACCCATGTCTTGCTAGTCCGGCAATCTCCTGTCCTCCCGGCTCCGACCGACCCACTACGGACCGGTAATTGAACTGCATCAACCTTGCCCCCTTCGCTTCGTTGTCCGGATTTCTCTTCGTCCGAAGACATCAATCTAGAGGCCAACGCCCCCATCTGCGCCGGCCTGAGGCTTATTCGGTCGAGGAACGGCTCATACTTTGGTGGACTTGGACTCGGGTCGAGTCAAGCACCTCTTCGCCACGCATTGAACATAGGAAAGGTGGTTGGGTATCAAGTTTAGGTGACCTTGGTTCAATCTTGAGTTGGTTACCCTCCTCTCTTTATCCATCAAATGAGCCCATCAGCACTATAAGGTTATCACCTCATTTCGGGCCAGTGCCTATTGACTTGATACTATACACATGCGTTCTTCTAGTCAATACAACATGTGCCTAACGCCATGCGAATAGTTCCCAGTTGGAGTCATCAGGTCTAGTCGGTTCCTACCAAATTTCCGCCGAGCTCTGGTCGATGAAAGCCTGCCTCAGACTATAATCATGGATCCTACGAAGCAAAACCAGATGGCTTCTATGCATGGCTCAGACACACGAGCCAGTATGGATAAGACGACAAATCAGGGCTTTCCTCCCCAAAAGACGGCACCAGTGCCATGGGCATTGATGAACTTCTACGGAAGTGACAACCCACAACCATGGGTTCCTGCCGGAATCTTTCCCGACTCTCATCAAACTCAGCAATTGAATGTCTCAGGCGATCCTCGGCGCCGCAATCAGGCTCACTTCGGGGGCGGATGGAGGAGCCCTCTCGCTTCAGAATGCGGTACCGTACCACAATACTTGCCTTCAGACTCTGGTTATGAGAGTAGGACCAAGCATAGCGTTGATAACGCATCTGTCTTCAACGATGTGGACCGAAGTCAAGACACTCACAGTATCTCGGGCCAACTGTTGGACTTTCAACTGGGCCCAACGCCTGCCGAGTCTCACTGGAACCTAGGGGCTACTCCCATGTCAGTGACACATCATGGAGCGGCCGATAATAAGCTGGTTTGTGACCACTGCCGTGCTATCTGCAAGACCAAGTCGGAATTGAAGTGAGTACCGAAAGCATATACTACTCCGTTTTAGAAGCACATCGTTAATACTAATTTTGTAGCAAACATCACCAGCGTCATCAGAAAGCCTTCAAGTGTGATGTTCAAGGATGTACCCGTGCAGAGGGGTTTGGCACCCAAAATGACCTTGAGAGACACAAAGGAAGTGTGCACCCCGAGCTCTTCAACTCGGGTCCGCGATATCGCTGCCATAAAGGAACATGCTCAGCGAAGAGCAAGATATGGCCGAGAGCCGACAATTTCAGGCAACACCTGAAGCGGGTGCATAGTATCATTCTGAATCCCGAGGATGATCTTAGCGAATATGTTGTCCAGTGAGTCAAGAAACATAAGTCAAGAAACATTTGTAGCTGTTCAAGGCGCCTAACAGGATACAGAAGCACCCAGAGGCCATTGGGAGAAACGTATCACCAAAGTACACAAGACGTCCTTGAAGGTGTGGGCGTGGGCTCGGAGGTGTACTACCAGGCTCCTTCTATTGCCTGGGGCGATAGTACATCGCCAATGTATGACGATGTTCAACTCTCCCCTCAGCATCCAGGAAATGGCTTGGAGATCAGCCTCATCGACCCGTCCTTGACGCAGATTGGCGGCTCAGCGCGAGACGTCTGTCTTGAATCATCCATTGCGGATAAGGCCATTCCCAACTCCCCATTGCACGAAATTGATGGCCAATCGGTCTGCGACAGCCCTCAATCTCACCACCAATATGTGCAGCCTGGAGAAGTTTCGAAAGCGCCATCTCCAAGGACCATGATTGGAGAGCGGATGATCCAAAGATCCAACTTCAGTCGCGAAGGCAATTCCGCGAGCGTTCCTGCCGCCATGGATTTGAATATGAACCTCAATACCAATGGATCAAGCAGAGCCCGCAACGAGATTTTCGAGACCTCTCCGATAGACCCCTTGAATTCCGAGATCACTAGCACTAACTCGATTCCTTGTGCTTCGGACGAGACTATTCTGAGGAGCCAGCCTGCCAACAAGGATTCGGCCCAGGGGGAGCAAATCTTCAACCAGCCTCTTCCCGCATCTCCAAACAAGAGTATGAGTGAGCAGGCCATGCTTGAGTTCCTCTCAAAGATGCCTCAAAACGTCATTGAGACATTTATAAAGGCACGGATGGAAACGCCTCTTCAGAAATCCACACCGACCACAAACGGCAGTGCTGACGGCCAGCATCGGTGTTCGGACTCTGCCTGTGATAAAGTGTTCAACCGCAGGTGTGAACTTAAGTGCGTATTACTCCTGTCATTTTACATGTATCGGCTGCTAACCAAAGGATAGGAAGCACATGAAGCGCCATGAAAAGCCGTATGGATGCACTTTTGCCGGTTGCAAAAAGAAGTTCGGCAGCAAAAATGACTGGAAACGTCACGAGAACAGCCAGCATTTCCAGCTTGAGGTATGGAAGTGTTCCGAAGGACGGTCTGAAGGCGACAATGAGAGTTGTGGCAAGGTTTGCCATCGTCGGGAAACTTTCCGAAGTCATCTTCAAAAGGAACACAAGATGGACGACTCCTCCAATATCGAGAAGGTCCTCGAGGAGTGTCGCGTTGGACGAAACGGAGAACCAAAGTTCTGGTGTGGCTTTTGTGTCAAGATCGTCGACATCAAAAAGAAGGGTACGAACGCCTGGGGCGAAAGATTCGATCATATTGACAACCACTACGCTGGACGTGAGGGCTTAGTCAAGAAGGACCACTCCCAGTGGGTAGCTGTCGATCCTGACTCGCCAGACGTCGACCTCACCGGATCTTCGGACGACTTGAGCGATGCAGACTCGGCCGATGACATTGTTGTCATCTCTGGCTCACGAAAGTCGACGATCAATGGAAGAGGTGTCAATCGTCAGTCAAGAAAGAGAGGCCTGGACGATGGCGCCGAGCAGCCCAGCCGTAAGCGGATGACAACATTCATGTGGGAATGCGTGAGTAAACCTGAGACTTCTTCGCTCTGGCCTGTCAAGATATGCTAACATGACGTCTAGTGCTCGTGTAAATGGGACGCAGACCATAAAGTGCATTCGGCTTGTGTGAATTGCTCTCACGTGCGTTGTGGTCAATGCAGTGGGAGGTGGGTTGAGATTCAGGAAGACAGGGACGCCAACAGCACCGGCGACAGCTCGAACCAGGTGTAGAGACATTGGAAGTCCATGAATACAACAGCAAAAAGCGACCCCTAAGAGGCATGCGCTGACCCAATGTTTTGTAATGGATGACATGGAGTTATGATGGTAAGGCAAAGGATGACATGCGATGGAAGTGCTCCACGATGGACAATGATTCCCCTTTTTTGCTTCGATTTGGCCAGGCTCCAAACTTTGGGACTGATGTTTGGCTGCGTTGGATTTTCAAGTTACCTCGTTATAGTAGAGAAGAGGGGATGACATAAAATGGCGTCTCGGGTAGCGCCTATCAACAAGCAATGATTTTCTACCTTCAATGTCACAGTCAGCAACTTATCAAACGTTGCACCCTTCACCCATGCCGAGTTTTCCGTTTATAATCAGCCCTTTATTTTGTATTCAGGGATTGTCTACCACATGGTCATATGGCATCCATGCCTGTGGCAACGGCATATGTGTTCTGTCTGTCTGCGTGTGTACATGTCAAGAACTAATAACCATGTAAGTAAGCAGAACCCCTGGAACCAGACATTAGCTCCTTTCCGAGATGTCCTCCTCTTCCTCGGGCCTCGTCCAAACACTTGATCGCAGTGGGTAGCAAAAGAGGCACAAACAAACCCCAAAAGGTCCCACAGCGGCCGACGCCGAAGAATCTTCAGGGGTACGGCACAAGAAGCCAGTAGAAGCAGCGATCCCGTAGAGGGACGTCGGGCCTTTCTTCGACGGCAAGCGGTTCCCAGGACCTGGGCTTTGGGTACGGAGTGAATTGAAATGTTTGCTTCCTCCTGACGAGATTCCGTGTCAAAGAGAAAAGGGCTGCGTGCGCCCATCGCCCATTGGAATATACGCGACGCTTTTCGTTCCTACGGACTCCCGTCTGGGACCCTAGACCCCCCTTGCTCACTCACACGTTGCTCCGATTCCGTAGGACTGGTTTGACGACCACCACCACCATTACCGCTGGGAGCAAAGGTCACAGACACCCCCTCCATCTCCTGTAGATCTTACGCTTCTTCACCTCTGACATCCACGACACGAATTCTTCGGGACAGGTCTCACTTTGCGCCTCCCTTCTCCCCCTCCCCCTTCCTCTATCATCCAAACATGCCAGGTACACCTTGTAAAGATAACCTACCCGTCATCCGTGCTGCCCTCCCTCCCCGGGCCTCCATATATTTGGGGGCCACAAGACAGGCTGGTCCAGCCTCAGCGGGAGCAAACAGCTCGGTATTGGCCCGTAGTCCAAAAGTCGAACCACCGTCCTGTATGGACTCTGGAGGAGTGATCCATGTTGTGTAACATGAGGAAGCTGGGGGGTGGAGAGAGAGGGGGGGAGGCGCCAGCCGCCAAAGACATGGCGAAGGCAGGGCAGGGCAAGGGCAAGGGCAGGGCAAGGTTGAAGATTGAGAAGGCGCAGACGAGTCCGAAGCAGCAAGCAAACAGTCAAGGCAAGGAAGGGGGGCTGGTGGAGGGCGGCAATGATGTACATGCAACACGCCTCGTGGAAGATGGAAAGACGTGGCTGTGCTCACTTGCTTCCTCTCATCTCCCCCGAAGTCTTCTCAGCCCTGGGCTTGGATCTAGTAGGGATGTGCGTGTGTCGTCACAATGCTTCGTGCTTCGGGATGGCTCGCTGGTCGTTTGGGTGAAAGGAACCGAGGGGCTTGAGTCGATGGAGAACGTTCGATGTATGCAGGAAAGAGTCCGCTTTCTGTATCATGGCGGCTACCTTGATTCGACTGTTCATATCTCCGTCGCGCGGTAGAGCTGCTGAGAACCTGGGTAGAGTTGACGGCCGTACGCTCTGATATTGGTCAAATATGGTCGCTGGATCATTTCTGACAACCAGATAACAGCCGAGAATGAGTGAGCACAGTATTCGCAGTAAATGCAGATGGTAGACGATACCACTGTCCATTCAGTACAATCATGAACGGATATGTTGGTCGACCTAGGCCTCGACCAACAATATGCAGTCCCGAGACAATAAGCGATCACCGTGTTGGGCGCTACGCGAGGGTTGGTACTAACCTGCTGTCACCATACTGTTCTAAAGCTAGTTTAGAGAAAGACCAGTCTCCAGACTATCAATAGCCAGCCTAGATATTTCAGCTCTTGTCATGGACCCCGCCGATCCGAATCCAACAAACTCTTCTTGTTAATGTGCCATCATGAGCTGGCCCAATCTCGCATGCCACCATCTACTAATCATTTGTCGGTGGCCGCAAAAAGACCAGGCACATCTCGACCCCGGAAGAAGCCCGAGTTCTGGATGCCACGGGGATCCTAGTTTGTAATGGGCCTTGAGAGAAACCCTACAGGACCAACTTTGGTCAGGCCATCTGCAGGGGGGCCACTATGAAGAGAACCATGAGACGATAGAACACCCTTGAGAGCGTCAACGCAAAGTTAACACGAAGGCCTCGATCTGGATCATCTGTCGACGCTGTACTGGACTCCTGGACCAACAAGCCGGTACCACCACGGGCGTGTTGTCTCCTTTGGGAGAATCCTTCCCCGTAGATGCTTGCAGATCGTTTCATAACAGAACATTTGACCACCAACACGACTCCGCCTTGCCGAGTAGAAGTGATTAGAGCTGCCCAAGATCTATCTCGTTTCTGATCTGCCGATTCGAGAGGCAAGGGGTTGATGAATCGAAGAAGTAGGTCTCAGAATCCCGATGCCTAATTAGCGAGCAGGGCCCTGGAAGAGGGCTTTGGCGTTATTGGCGTCGATTGGTGTAAAGCACGCAGTCTTGCGTACAGGAATAGAATTGCCGCGCACTCCGCGCCAGTTTAACAACACTTGCATTTGCGCGAACTGCGCCAGTGCTCCAGACTCGCGCGTACAACTCATACTCGCAATGCTGCAAGACCCGCGTGTATTGAGGGCTCAAGAGTCAAGACATGGCTTCACGATAGACTTGCGAAGGCGCGATCTGCTTGGTCTGTGAGCCCCCCGATAATTGCAGATGTAACAACCGCGAATCTGACAGACAGGGCTCATTGCCTCTTTTTGGGAGCGTCGAGGCCGAGGAACGGGCGAGCTCATTTTGTGAGATTTGTCTGCGGATACTTGTGTAACGATGCAGTATGGACGCAAAAACAAGGATCCAGCGGAGCTGGCTCCTGTTGCGACTTGACATGGTTGATGTCTGGGGAGGATTTTGGTGGTTTAGTGATTTCGTGTTCAGCTTTGGCTTGGCCAGCCAATGAAGTCTGTGCCGTGCCATCCTTGTTCGAGATGTTGGGGTCTGGAGACAGTGGAGAGGAGCCTACTTGTATGAGCCCTGAGATGGGAGATGAAGCCACTGAGTATACATAGTGTACCCGTACAGACTTAGGAACCCCTAACCTTGTATCTGCTGTTGCCGCCCCGGCAGGCAAGTAAACTTGACAGTGCTCTGGACGATACCTATGAGGAATCTCCGAGCAAGTGGTCGCGTAACAGGCCTGGATTAGAATTCGCGCAAAGCTGCATACCGGCGAGGAATCGATTTTGACGGAAGTCAAATTACTTGGCTAGCTACTGTTGGTGAGACAGCAGATCCGGACAAGGAACAAGGAGGAAGCGGGCAACGGCGTGCCATCGTACGGCCAAATCCATGAGCAAGCGCTCTGCTTTCTGGTGCGCTTAAGCTCTCTCAAGGGTAGCAAACTCCTCCTCCGTACTCCTGTACTAAAACTCGTTTTCGGTGATGTCGGTCGAGTCCCCACGAGAGATCGACAGGCAAGTCCGAAGGAACCAGGGGTCTCGATCCCCGACACTTCACAAATTCGCACATTGCCCAGTCGGGTGCTGATGCGTGCTTCTCAAGCTCAGGGTTTGCTGGTCACTTAGTGTGTGTGTGTGTGTCCGTACACGCATACCTAGACGGATCATCTTCAGATAATCAGCGTCCACTACAGAGCATAAAGTGCGCAATTGTGCGTGTACTGTACCCATAAACGGTAATCGTATCGATAGCATACCAGTTGACTGGGAGAAGAGGACGGGACAAGGACGGGAACAGGAGCGAAGGAGCGATCGTTAAACGGACCCTGGAGCCCTGTGAGATGCCAAGACTCGCTCTTTCTGAAAGGAGCAGAGGCGTGCTGATTCACGCCATTATTGCAGTGAATGGGTGTACGGATATGGAGGCTTCCATTCCCCAATGGGTGTGGATTCCCGTAGTGGATGTGACGCGTTGGGCGAGTGAAGCCGGGAGGTAGACACGACCAACCACGTTCTCTCACTGAGTCGTAATGACTTGTTGGCAAGGAGGAGCGGGAGCCAAGGACCCCCGGGGGTAGGATCTGCAAGGTAGCTGAGGTTCCATTTCTTGTGATTTGGATTTTGGAGACTATGCGGTGATAGTGAAGTGTGTTTCAAGGTGTATGTAGCGATGATGGAATCAATCAGCCAGCGAGCGGGTGGGCAGGGTTGTTGGCAATATCAATAATGTTCGGGGGTCGTCGGTGTTTGTGGGGCAGGAAGACAGTCCGAATATCTGCGTCTAGTGTCCGTTTTAGCGTGGCGCCGCCCATCCGTCAGTTCGTCCGGTTTGCTATATCCGGGCAGATAGTTGGACCTCGTGGGACGTGGAGACGGCTTCAAGGTTCAAGCCAGGAGCACCGGGGTGCTGGTGGTAGGGAGGACTGGGATCAGTTCCAGACTTCCCAGTCGTGCCAGTGTATGTAAGCCCGTTGGCCGAATGGCTTGCCGTAAAAGGCGCTGGGCAGGGTATGTAGATGTGGGATGGAGCTTGTTGCGGGACGGTCCCGTCCTCAATGATAACGAAGTCAAAGAGGGATTGAGTGGGTGCCAGATGAGAGGCGTGGACCGCGTGGTCATGGCAGAATGGGCTTGGGAGGTTACACAAGAAACCCACCCTTGGCGGGATGTAGGATTTGCGTTGCGTTGCTTTGCGATGTGAGGACGGGAAGAAGTGAGGGGAATGGTTTTTTCTGCCCAGTGGCTGACGGCAAGCATTGATTGAGGTTCAGGGCAAGTAAGGTCCGTGGCAGGCGTGGATAAGGTAGTGAAGTAAGCTGTCACGCTGCGTAGCATTTGCTTAGCTCACCTTTCTTGCCTTACGTAAAGCCTGTCCATCAGTTCGCAGGTAATCAGTACAATTACTTAGTCCGTACCTGCTGAGTAAATACGGACACCTTCTTCCCCGTAAGGCAGTACCCAATACTCCAGGCAACGAACAAGTTGCATCGATGAAGGCGCCATCTTTCGGCTACAGGCCCCCCATGGAGGGAGGAAGGAACAGATACACTACGGATACATCGTAAGCAAATCATGGAGCCATCGACGGTGAGGTGGGGTCCGTATCTGGAATTCTGCTCGACTGACTTCTCTCGAATCCCTCGATCCTCTTCACATCTCGCTCAGTGTCTCCCCCACCTTCACCACTCACTCGTATGCCTAGTCCTTTTGCGACTTGCGCTAGTCAGCCTGCGGCCGCCTTCTTCGGGAGTAGGTATGCCTCATGGGTCGATGGGACCAATGGCCTGGACACGTCAAGCGGAACTCTCGCGCAGCTGCGCGATGCGATACCTTGCCTTCAGTTGCTGTTGCTGTCAACCCTTTATCCTCAACCCGCGCAGTCGCTACCTTAGCATACCTACGTCTGCGCCTGCAGGTGTGTGAATACCTTCCGATGGCTAAGGTACTATAGACTAGGCCTACCTAGGTATTGATACGTATCCTAGGCTGTTTTTTCTTCTGTCTGTCTCTCCTGAGTCTTGGATCTCCGAATGTCTCTCTCCCTCTCTCTCTTCATCACTCGCAACCAAGCTCCGTCCGTTCCACTCTCCGTCTCCGTCTTGCCCCATCCCTCCTCCACCCGTCAACTTGCCAATGCTCCTCCTACCTACGTGGAGTGGTACCACAGTAGACTCCTGTCCGCTCCTCTCCACCGCGACGGGCCCCAAGCCACCATCCTACACTACCTCCATAGTATCCGTCACTTTCGACCATGGACCACCTCAAGGCAAACCAGCTACGGTGCTACGGCAGCTTTACATTCTGACATTCTGACATCCTCCGATCCGAGACATGACCTGGCCAAGCGCTGTCTAGAATCTCCCGTTCCAACTTCACTCCCCTGTTGCTTCTCTCTCCTGCGCAAGTGCGCGGTCCCTGCTATCTTCTTCGCCCATCATCTCTTCCCTGCACCGTCATTTTTGCTTTTGTCAAATCTCCGTACCTTCATCACTTCCAAGGGAAATGGGGATATGACCACCTGGCGCATGGCCTCTATGCCGCCCTGAGACCTTTGCTCGGTATTCAACTCGCCGTCTGGCCAGTCAGGGATGTCTTCGATTACCTGGTAAAGGTGTTGCGGAGAAGCAAAGTATCTCGAGTCTCGACCGACTCCTCATTTCCTCATTCCTCAACGGAACACCCGGCACACACCTTCTTCCCACGTCTTCCTCATTGAACCCCTTTGACGCTATCCAAGCAAGCCAAGCAGCTTCTCGACCCGGACCATCATCCATGAAATCGAGAGGGTCCGACGCTCGCAGTACGTCGTACAGATGCAAATCTTGCTCGACATGATTCAAACCCCTGGCTCAGACTTGCTGAAATGGATCAACTACCTGGCCTGTGGAGGACCGGTCAACTTAGCACGTCCAAGTGCCAATATCACAGAAACACAGCTGACCGGCCATCCCCAACAAGGATCATCAGTGACGTCCGCAGTGCTCTCTTGACAGACACAACCACTTTGTGGCGGCGGCTGAGGCAGTCAAAATAAGGGTTGGGACAGACAGTGTGTCTCGCAACTGTTGACCCATCTGTCGAGGATTGCGTTGTCAACTTGGGTCGACTCGCACGCAGACACTGACACTGACACTGCAATTCGCTGACGAGCTTCGGTGATGGTTCCTTAAAGTCATTCCCCATTCGTCAGAGACAAGGCAACTTCGAGTAAGGCAACCCAGTGGTATCTGCCTGGAGGCAACGGATGCCATGGCGAAATTAACCCATCAGAGGCAAGCTCAGAAGCTACCCGTCCCGTTGGCCGTGGGTTCGTCTTCCGAACCAGGCGCAGCCGCAGCCCTGGCGGCTCCCCTCGTCCACCCTCTTTCAACACCACCCTCCATCTGCCACCCTTGACCGGACAGTGGTTCGCGAACCGGCCCCCAAAGCGGAGCTGGACCAGCCAGAACAGAACTGTATAATTTTATACAGACAAATACATACATCTGCTGCAGCCACTAGAGACTAGTCCCTGATGGTGTGCCAGCCCGTAACCACACGTATTCCCTGCCACAGTCCTGGCTCCAGGGGTGTGCATATGCGCTCTGCAGCGCCTGATGATGATGGCCCTCCACTGCAAATCCTTGCCTCTTCCTCCTCGTCTCTCAATCTGCCCTCTCGCACTCCTCGCTGGCCCACATGAGGCTCTGCAAAGAATACGTACCCGTGCTTTTGGGGTTTCTTGCTCTCCCCAGCGCTCTCCCAGAGCTTTTGGCTGGGTCCGCCTAGGCGACTGCCCTGCGGTATCCCCTGTGCTACCGATATGCCAACCCACCTCATTGACTTATATACATCAAGCTCCGCCACGCTGGTCGGTCTGCGATGACATTATCGTGTCTCTTGCTGTTCAGACCAAGCACGGAAGCAGCAACTCTCTAGATTCTTACACTTGTTGCATTGTTCACTCACTTATAACTGCCTCGTCCTTTCGTCTTAGTCCGCGGCACATCCTTCAACTTTCCAACATCAACAGCCCTTTGGTCTAGCCTTGGACATATAACCCAGTACGATCGGATCAACACTACAACGTCTTTCCATTGGGATACTCCCTTGCCACTTTCTCTTCTAAGAAGGTCTATATTCAGGATTCTGTCCTGACCCGTTGGAGTATACTACCACTGGAATCTCGGATCTTCCATTTTGAGCAAGCACGCAACATGGCCTATTACTATGACAATGTCCATGGAGGACATTTTACCCAAGACCAGGTACCTTACTACGAAGAACAGAGTTACAGCCAGATGCCCATGGCTTACCTTGGAAGCTCAACAACCTCGAGCTCCCCGACACCAGTCGACCCTAGCCTTGGATCTTTCTCCCATTCCCAATGCCAAACTCCATGGCCGACACATCAAACCCACCAGATTCAACAATACATGGATGGACCACGAACGGCCTTCTTCGTCCATGAGAATGCCCAAGTTTTGCTCGGTGTAAGCCAATCTACCAAGGAGTCAAACCCTCTACCTCCAGCTTCACAGAGGAGACACGGTTCCCCGTGTTCTCAGCAGACGCTGTCCAGCAGCGATTCCCATAGCCCACCCACGGAGAGTGACGTCCTACCCGCAACTCCTCCAGACCACTCAGCCACTTCTCCTTTCTTGCAGCATAAGCAGGTCTTTGGAAACTGGGAACCCCAACTACAGTCCCAGACGCTCTTTGGAATGGCCATGGAAGGGAATATTTGTGTTAATCCTTACGAAGTGAACGACATGTTCGAGAAGGAGGTAGTCCCAACGAGCTTTGATACTGCAACCTTCAGCTTCTGCTGCTCAGAGTCTGATGAGGCCAGTATTACCCAGCACTCAACTTTGTCGTCACGGCAAATCAGCCCAGAGCCCGTCATCAAGCAGGAGGCAACCATGGTCGACCTACCATTCCATCCAAACTACCCTGACCCTGAATCGAACGGTACAAACATCTTTGAACCAGAGATCAAGGCCGAGCCTCTTGCCGCTGACGACGACAAAGACCTGGACTACAAGCCAAAGCCTTCGAGAAAACGTTCCCGCAACACCACTACCAGATCTCAGGCTCACCCCTCCGGTTCGTCTCATGAACGAAAGCGGTCCAAGGTTAACAACGACATCGGTAGTCTATCTTCAGCGAGACTAAACGCAACACTTTCGTCGATGAGGAACCCCAAGATCCTTTGCAAAGAGTGCAAGACCCCCTTTTCCGATGAGAGCACCCACCAGAAGCACATGAAACAACATCATACCCGCCCCTTTGTGTGCGTCTTCAACTACGCTGGCTGCCCATCCACCTTTGCCAGCAAGAACGAATGGAAGCGTCACGTAAGCTCCCAACACTTGGCTCTCCAGTACTGGCTCTGCGAGCAAGACGGTTGCTCCAAAACTACCAACCCTCCCACCAACCGACGTTCCTCCTCCTCTTCCTCCTGCTCCGTCACACCAACGCCCCCCGCTCTACCAAACGGCGCCATCTTCAACCGCAAAGATCTCTACACACAGCATGTTCGCCGCATGCATGTGCCGCCACATGTACGGAAGGCCCAGAAGCAGAAGAAGCCCACCCCCGAGTGGGACGAGCACCTCAAGACTCTCCAGACGGACGCGGAGAAGGTTCGCTGCGATCTTCCAACATACATGCGCTGTCCCGCTGCCGACTGCGGACACGACTTCAACGGACCCCAGGCTTGGGATGAACGCATGGAGCACGTTGCGCGACACCTCGAGCGCGCCGCCGAGGGAAAGGAGCCTATGGTCCACTTTGGCGGAGACCACGACCTGACACTCACACAATGGGCCTCCAGCGCTGATGTCTACGTTGTCCGGCGGGTACGAAACATGACAGCCGAATGGGAACTCATTAACCCGCTCAAGGGAGAGATTGGTCCCTCTGCTGGCAACGGCAAAGGGGGCAGCAGCACCGCCACAAACTCAACTGTTCACAAGGAAATTGTTGTTGCAGTCTGCTCCGACGAGGATGCTGAGGGTGAGGACGAAGAGTGATTTACACTCCGTCACCCAGTCTTCATGGCTGTTGTTGATCATCTATACGTTACTTGCTACTTGAGAGTTGTTCAAACTGGCATCTCGGTAGTTCAAGGCTTGTTCATGTTTTCATTGAAGTTTCTCCTTTTTTTGAAGTTTCTCCTTTTTTTGTTTTTAGATACCTTTTCTTTTACATTCTACTTGCTTGGCCCTCCACAGCCGGAGTTTTCTGCTTCTACAATCAGGAAGATCGCGAAGGAGTAATGCGACTTGGGGAAAAAGACTTTCACTTTTAGCGGATATACAATTGGCTGGCATACTGGAGCGGGAATCAGAACAGGATATAGCCCATAGTCATGATTTGGCACTTTTTGATAGTTTCTGCATTGATACCAATTTGCTGTACCTCCGTTCCAATTCAAATGCTCGATCCTCTCATAGTGCAAGAACTAGTTACCTACCTAAGGTACCCTATGCCACCATCGACGAAAAGAGAGATGCCAGTCTCACAGGATCACCAAGCTCCGAATAAACCGCCATAACCCCAAATCTCACTGAAGAACTGAAGCTGGCAAGTACAGGAGAGACGACAACCTTCTTCCCCCGTAATCTATGCAACAGAATACCATCCTAGTTCAGTCCCCAATGCCTCGCTGCAACTCTCCGTCGTAGAGTCCTCCCACGACGCGGCCAAGCAACCAACTCAAGCGCGCTTCTATACCGACCGAGCCGCCAGTCTCCAGTACCTCCACGTCTACGCGCCTGTGGCTGCTTCAACCATGGGTTTCCGCTGGCGTGTGTTGGAGCAAACACCTAGCCTGGCCAGCGGCTGCTCGAGGGGAACGGCAGCGGCAGCGGCAGCAAGCAGCCGTGAGGCTCTATCGTCCTTGCTCGCCCACTCGACATACTCGACCATCACTTACACCACTATACACGGGTTCACACGTCCCACACTAGAATCCCACAAACCACACCTACCTACAACTGCACCAACAGCGTGCGACCGATCCGTTCACTGAGAGGGAGAACCGGAGCTGGGTGGGCAGCCAGCGAAACCCCGAGTAATGCGGCTCAAGTTGGTTTCCCAGCCCAGCCCAGCCCAGCCCAGCTTTCCGCCCTGGGCGCTAATCGACACGTCCGACGTAAGGGATGGGGACGGAGGGTGCAGAGGAAACGGGTGGACGGGAACGACTCTAAGCCTCTGAGGATGGGTAGGTAGAATGCTGACTTGTTCTTCTGTTGGCTGTAGGACTCTACAGAGGAGGTACCTTCTGCTCGCCCTCTCCTGCAGAAGGAAATTGTTCCGGATCCTTCTCCCGTTTCCTATGAGTGAACTTGAACCTATGAGGTAGAACGCAAGCAGTAGGTAGGCGGGTACCTTGGAGAGGTGGACGTAAAGACAGAGGCAGGAACGCAAGTAGCCGTACCCGCCGCGCGTGTTGGGCCGCCCATCGCCCATCGCCCGTCCATCTAAGTTCTGACACGCATTCCTTCGCTTCCATTCCTTTCATCCCATATTCCGTAGGGCTCGCCAAGGGCGAAAGAGCATCCGTAGGAATAGGAAGACCGGGGGGAAGAGAGAAGAGTCGGGAGAAGGAGGGGGGCGTGAGATGTGTAAGACTTAGACGCAAGACCAAGTACATGCGGTTGCCTTCCCCGCGGCCCCCAATGTGTCGAAACACGGAGTTACAATCTAAAAAACCGGATTTATTCCCTTTTCTTCTTCTCTCTGCCGTTTATGCATTTCCTCCCCACCAGACACCCATAGGGTGGTTGCGCGCTGGCGTTGGCTGTTGGCCGCAGCGGCGCGGCCCAGATGGAACGCTAGGTACTAGGTAGTAGAGGGGAAAAAGAAGACGAGACACGGAGTCGAAAAAAAAAGGGCAAGACACGGATCGAGAGACAGAGACCGAGAGGGCTAAGACTGGACGGGGAGGGAGGGAAGCGTGGGAAAGCTCCCACGCTCTCCCAAAGGCGGAACCGAAAAGCCGTCAGCACTAGTACGCGTTGGACACACCGGCCGGCCGGTCTATGCAGAGCTGAACTCCATCGAACACATCAGCACCCAGAGAATGGAACAGAGTGATTACCTACCTTACCTTACCATGCATGCCATGCTATCCCACCCGCGCCGCGTGCCATATGCGAAGACGGAGATGGCGGGGCTTGGCCACGCAACGCAGCTCTTTCGCGTACCGCCAACGGTTCTCCGGCTTTGGGGGGACTGGGCTGGTCTGCCAGCACTGGACAGACACATCTACGGTGTAAGTCTTGAGTCTTGCCCACACCTCCCCCCCTCCATTCCGTGCGCGACTGCGCGAAGCGAAACGAGCACCTTGCAACCTGCGACTTGTTCTCTTTTCTTTTTCTTCACTTTTGGTGACTGCGCCGCGGCGGCTGCTACGGTGGGTACGTTAGCCGACCGATGCAAGCACGGCGCTCCAGAATGGATGGCCCTGCGCCTGCAGCGTTTATCTAGATGAGCTCTTTTTTGTTCCCCTTCCATGCGTGGGCAGTGCCGCGGATGTGTTTCTTCTTGAGGGCAGTTTTGCGCTCGATGGATGGTACGTTGCAAATCGGGGTGTGTGTGTGATCACGGCAAGCATGGCATGGCGGCATGGCCCCCAAAAATAAGGTACAACCAACAGGGCTGGGGATCTATGACGACGATGGTGGAAGCTTTGGCGTCGCGAGGCGGCCATCTTACTGCTTTGGAACTTGGAGAGTTGGATGGAATGAAAGGCCTACTGCCTCGTAGGTAGGTAGAGTGCACTTTCCGCGGCTGAGGTTCTCTGTGCCGGCATTTACACTCTCTCTGCTGCGCTACTGTACGCCGCCTCGTGTTCCAGCATAGGTTGCAGCCCTCCAGGTCTTACTTTCTCTCCTTGGCTTCTACTGATGACGATGTTCTTCAATGGCTATGTTCGATGTAAGGGACTTTTCGGTCTCAGATTCTATCTTGGATAATAGCCTGCTAGTCTTACGAAAGTGTGGTTCGTATTCCTCCATAGCTGAGTGCTAGCCTGGACGTCCAACACGCCGCAGCCCTATTGAGATCGCGGTTGACGAAAGGTAGGATCGCGGATCTAGAAGCTGAAGACGAAACATGGCTCCGGAACACTCTGCTTCTTTGAAGGAAGGGGGCGAAATTGCACTTACAAGCTGTCACGCGTCGTTGGGAACAGCAGGGGGTGGAATCCAGCCGGAATCCTTCTCGGAGGAAGAACGCCACGGTAAGCAGCTACGTAAGCCGGTTCTCTCGGTCCAGCGGGTGATTTTGGTTGCTTACTTGGTACGTTCCAAGTCGTCACGGCGCGGTGTCGGCATTGCCATTTTCCTAGCCCGGGATCCGGACGGCCCTGGGTTGCGGGACCGGATTTGGTGTGGGTCAAGGGGACCGGCGGAACCGGGTGGTCGTTGTCGCGGAGGGGCCGAGGCCATCCCGACCGGAGAGCCGACGGACAGACATACTTCAGGTGCGACTACTTACCTTGTGTTTAAGGTACTTTATGGAAGGCACCGAGGCAAATAATACCTGCCCACTGACCTTACTTGTTTCTCTCCCTACCCAAGGCAGGTAGTTATTGTAAGGAAAAGGCGCCCAGCTGTCAAACGGTCAAGCGAACGAACCGGATCCCTCTATCAAAAACTGCCTTGAAGCTCCCCAAAGAGCGAATGTTGAGATAATGACCAAATGCTGCTGACAGGAAAGAGACAAAGCGATAGAAATGGCTTGTGCCCGATGATTCGGCGGCTTCGGTGTACCGGGGCCCGCAAATCTCAAAAGCGAATGCAAGGAACGAGCAATACGAGGGATTTATATCTGCTGTTTACGGGTGGCCTGTAAGGCGTTTGTCGATGGGATTAGCTCGTGATTGGGCATCGCCGTCTCCAATATACAGCTATTGAGGGGCCGAGGTGGGATCATGCTGAGTCGTGTCTAGAGGGGAGATGTTGTGACACCATTGGTGTTCTCACGGTTGGGCTGCCATGAGTCTGGCGATCAACAAAAGGATGCCCTGGGCTATATCCGTAAAGTTTGAGAAACATGTTTTGACGACTATGTTTCCCTGGCGATGAAAGCCAAGGATCGCTGCTGCCCGGGTCGAAACAGGTTGGCTGTTGGCTGACTGTACACTTCCGTTCAGTCCCAATTCCAGCTTAGTTCTCCGAGGAACACCTAGAATCAGGGTCTCTTCCTACCAGTAAACCCCCCAAAACGGGAGGTCCCCTGCTAAGAATCCGGCGACGAAAACCCCACCAGCAGCACTGCCGACCTCTAGGTGCCTGGCTCCGTCCGCTAAGATACACCGCAGACGTGCGTCTGACATCCCTGATAGGACGAACAGGACGGGTACCTAGCTCTTGGAAGCCTGCGCCCGCACCCCGCTTCCCTCTGCAAGCTGAGCCATCCTCCATCGCACAAAGCCCGCGCCGCTGGCAACAAGCGCCTGTGTGATACGAGAGAACGAGATGGCAACCTACCTTACCTTGGATAGTTTAGAAAGGGGGAAACTCTCTTTGCCAATTATCCATCTCCCATATCATCTGTCGGAACAGCTTATGCCTTACCTTTCATTGCCCTTCTTGCTCCCTCTTTCACCCATTCATCGCCGTTGGATCCGCATCCGGAGCTTGTTTACACTGCCCGCTTACAACCCACCAAAAAAGAGGTACCCTGAGCTGAGCTGAGTAGAGGACCGCTTCGCTACGTCATTTCATTAAGGCCAATCCTCGAACATCACATCAGCAAATACAGTCAGCATACAAACCCGACTTCATCTCGACCCAATTCCGCCCACTCTTTTCTATCCTTCTTCTCAATCACCTGGCATACGATATCCCATACCCTGAAGCAGCAGCGCCAGGCAGCAACCATGGAGTCTTTTGGAGCTCTCAAGCGGCGGACGACCGAGATACTACAGTCTCTCCCGCAGAACCTACCCAATATGCCCAATGTCAAGAGGCCGTCTCTGTCCAGCGGCACCGGCCCCAAGCCCATGAAGGGCACATGGGAACGAATCGACGTCCCGCCTCTCGCCCGCTCCTCCCACACTGTCAACGTCGTCAACGGCTCCGCCTACGTCTTCGGCGGCGAGGTCAACCCCCGCGAACCCGTCGACAACGACGTCCACGTTATCAGGCTTCCCTATAACAGCGCTGGTGCCGACTACTACAAGATCAAGTCTGCCCCGGCAAAGCAGTATACCCCGCCCGCCGACTCCGAGCCCACCACGACGCAGACGGAGGAGAAGATTGACGACGAGAAGCCCGAGGCGTCCGGCGACGACGTCGAGGAGAAAGCCGCTCTGAAGGAACAGCTCCTCGACGAGGTGTCTCTCGCCTCACCAGGCGTCGCTGGAGAAGAAGGAGAAGAATACTCGTCCCTCGGAGCTGGCGAGCAAACCACAAGTGCGGCCACGGCGGCAGACAAAGGCAAGGGCCCCGCCCTACCCGAACCCCCCGTCCTCGGCGACGTCCCGGGCCCCCGCGTCGGCCATGCCACCGCCGTCATCGGCAGCCGCATCTTCCTCTACGGCGGCCGTGGCGGCTTAGACATGACACCCCTCGAGGAGGCCGGCCGCGTCTGGGTCTTTGACACCCGCACAAACTCATGGTCCTTCCTCGACCCCGTACCGCCCGCCCCCGGCGTCACCAACCTCCCCATGCCCTCCCCGCGCAGCTACCACTCCGCCGCCGCCACTGACCGCCCGCGCGACTTCGCCCCCAAGCACGCCCGCGCAAAGCAGACCTGGCGGGCCTGGGCCCAGGGCGACAGCGCCGACGTCGGCATCCCCCAGGCGCCCATCGTAGGCCACGCTGCGACCAACGCCACGGACGAGGAGGACGACGGCTACGGCACCTTCTTCGTTCACGCAGGCTGCCTCGCCAACGGGGAACGCACAAACGACCTCTGGGCCTTTGACGTGCGGAGCCGGGTGTGGAGCCAGCTACCATCGGCGCCCGGCCCCGCGCGTGGCGGCGCCGCCATCACCGTCAGCAAGAGCCGGCTGTTCCGCTTCGGCGGGTACGACGGCAAGGGCGAAATCGGCGGCCAGCTCGACTTCATCCACCTCGAGATGGACACCTTTGACGACGGCGTCTCCAAGGGCGAGATCGCCGTCCACGGCCGCGGCGGCTGGCAGAGCATCGCCAAGGGCGCGGGCGCAACTCCCGGTGCCGGTGCCGGTGAGCAGGAGATCCACCTCGTCCCGGGCCAAACATGGCCCGGCCACCGCAGCGTAGCGGGCCTCGAGGCCGTCACCGTCGGCGCAGGCCGGGAGTACCTCCTCCTCATCATGGGCGAGCGCGAGCCCAGCGCGGACGGCCATGCCGGCGCCGGCGCAATGTGGGACGACGTGTGGGCGTTCCAGATCCCGCCGCTCGGCATGACGGCCGCCAGCGTGCGCGACGCCATGTTGCAGGCCATTGGCCGTCCCACGGGCGAGGGCAAGTGGACGAGGCTGTCGATGGAGCCGTACGACGACGATAACGACGACGGCGAGCCCGCGCCGCGCGGCTGGTTTGCGGCGGCGGCGATGGGAGACGTGGAGGAGGCTGGCGTCGTTGTCTGGGGAGGATTGAGCTCCGAAAACAAGAGATTGCGAGACGGCTGGATCTTGAGAATCCCCGAGTGAGATGGTCAAGTCTCGAATTGCATAAAAATTGCATACAGTAGATGGATATGTTTTTTTTTTGGTTTCCAAGGTTCATATATCAAACAGAGCAGATTTCGAGCAGCAACTCAATAGCAAATTGTGAATGAAGAAAAACTCATCACGTTTTAACAGGTTAAAAGAAAAATTGGGAAATTAGGCAGATATCCGCGGTCTCCGGGGGGCAAAGGAACAGAAGACAAATGAATCTCTAAACCGATCCCATGCATTCCGAATACAGCACATTTGTGTTTTATATACAAGCCGGACTCCCACCGGCTCTATTCCATTTCGCTTTGAGGCTCATTTCGTGGCCTTGTCCCGAACGTACGCGCGTGCGTCGAGGTTGTTCTCCTCGCATATCCCCCGTTCGTCCGCTGCCCTCTCTCTCTCTCTCTGGGTCGTCACACTACTTTTCTTACAAATCGCTCCGCGTCACCTCGGGGCCCCACGGTTCGGATGTGAGGTTCGTCAGACCCTTTGAGTTTTCGCAGGTTTGGCGACCGCTCTTGATGGGGCCGGGCTTGGGGACCTGGGCGGCGGCGGAACCACCGGTGGCGGCGGCGGTGGCCTTGAGGGCGTCGAGGAGCTGGACGGTCGTCTCGGGGGTGAGGTCCTCGTAGTAGTCGTCGTTGATCTGGACCATGGGGGCGTTGACGCAGGCGCCGAGGCACTCGACCTCGAGGAGGGTGAAGAGGCCGTCCTTTGTGGTCTCGCCCTGCTTAATGCCGAGGTGGTCAATGATGGCCTTGACAATTACGTCGGAGCCGACGCCGCCAAGTTGGCAGGGGGTCTGTTTTTAAAACTGTCAGCGACAATGCCAGTTTCTGCTTGAAAGTGTGATATCGGTCCGAAGATTCCCGTAGCCATTGGGTATATCAAAGACATCGCCTTCCAGCCAAAGGCTGACAGCGGGGCCTTCGGGGAGTGCCAATTGTATAGATCGAGCGGAGATATCGCACAAGAACGGCGGACTCACAGTTGTGCAGGCCTGGATGAAGTACTTTCCGACGGGAGTGCGGTTGTACATGGTGTAGAAGGATGCGACTTCGTAGACGCGCTGGGGGGGCATCTCAAGCATGCGGGCGACCTCGTTCATGACGCTGATGCTGGTGAAGCCGTGCTGGCGCTGGCCGAGGTCCAGAATGGGCATGACGGCGGCCTTCTTGTATTGCGGCGGGTAGCGCTTCAGGATCTCGTCGATGACGGCCTCATTCTCCTTGGTGAACTTGAAGGGGACGTCGGCGTTGTTTTTCGGGGAGTCGCGGTGCTGATCGGACAGAAGAGCGTTAGCGATTGACTCGGAATACACGATCTAGTTGTAGCAATTTCTGGATATCGGAGAGCTCTCGAGGCATTGCTACAAGGACAATTGACGTCGGAAAGCGAGGCGGCTTACCACTTGGAGGGTGTCGCTGGGGCGGACGGCTGTGAGGGAGAAGGCGCGGAACTGAGGCCTCGCCGCCCGACACGTTGCCGAGCGGAGGGCTGATCTGAAGAGGAGAGGAGAGAGTCTGGAGGCCATGGCGAGGGACGGTGGGTGGCTGCTCAATTGGCGATGGCGACGAGAGGGCGAGGGGAACAGGCGGCGCTGGGCTTTGGGATATTGCGGATATGTGCTGTTCGTTTAGATTCGGGAGGTTCAAAAGTCGTGAGCTCTGCTTGGATAATGGATCGCTGTGATTGGTCGAGCCGGCTACTGCGTGCTTAGGTAATGTTCTGGGTCTGTGGAGGCACAAGAGGCAAAAGGTCGACGAGTAAGCGTCATTGAGACTTGCACAATTAGATCATAATTGGGATTATGCAGAGACCCGCTTTTTCCGCGGCGTTGGGCCATTTGGCCAATGCTTGTTCAATCCTTGGGATGTAGCTTCTCAGCGTCTTTATCTCTACATAAGCTGGACTAGGAATCCATCAACTGTATACGAGTTTCCGCAACAAGGAACGATGCGACAGACGCCAATTGCAGAGGCCTTTTTAGCAAATGGTGCAGCCCTTTGGTTGAGGCATGGCCTTCGATTGGCGTTTCTCTGCCAAGGGTGGAAGCAATTCACTCTCTACCCGATGCTTCGTAGTTCCCAATACGGGGGAGTTATGAGTTGATGACCTACCGTTAACTCTGCTGCCCTTCCCCGGTATCAAGCGGACTAGAATCTATAAAAATATGACCGACCGCCTTGGCAAGATTGCCCAGCTATGACGTGGCTCCCAATGTCACCGGCACAGTCAGCTTTTGCGTGTAATCATTCGCTACGGTCTGGCCTGGGCAGTTGGCCAAAGAACCCAGCATAACAGCGATGAAGTAAGCTAATTGAAGCCGATGGAAGGCTGGCGTACTACTAAGGAAACAATAAGCACCTAAAAACCACCCCATTTCTCGCAGACGCTGCTAATGATACACAACCGAACCTCTACCTCGGAGACAGGCGGCTTCAAAGCGAGACTTTGGCCGTCTCTGGATTAGTATGCTTACAAAGATGGAGAAGTTGTCGAAATCACCCAGAATGTCGGTTGGAACGGCGGCGATTGGCCCATGCAAGATTGACTCAAGCCCCAAACCTCGTGCGACCACAATCTTGGGGTACTCATAGATCCAACGGGTTCGGGTGCGAATATTCCCATTTAACGAGACGTCTAGTTTAAGCTCGCCAAGAGATACACACGAGAGAGGGCACAACGGTATCCACGTCTGTCCGCTTACAAGGTCACTGGATGACATCAAGTGGAACACCTGGAAGATCTCGCGCACGTTCTTGGCCATTCCGGCAGTGGATTGCCCAATGGTGGCTCTATCTACCTCAGCGTCCGAGACAACTCACTGCAGAACTGAGAGCTCTGGTCTCTAACAGAGACAAGAAAGCACAACTCGCTGTATCTCGGTGTTTTGAACAAGCGAGTCTCCGGGCCTGGACTGCCTGGGATCGGTTGGTACCCTCCCCGTCCAGAGTCTTTGGCCGCGATTCGTCCTAGACCTTTATCAGACAAGAGTGAGTGGGTGTGGCACCCAATCGCGAAGTTGAACGAAATGGAAACCCTTTCAGGAAATAAGACGTGTCGTTGTCCGTCCGGTCTTTACGCCGTGCTTTACTCCTCCTCAACCCCCAACTTTTCCGGTAGCTCGTACTACTGCGTACGGATTACCCGCCATGCCTCGGTTCTTCTCCCATCTTCCCCAGCTTTACACAGACGCATAGCTCAGAACCCCCGCATCGACAGGGGTCTGATGCGGAGATCTAGCGTCACGATGCCTGGAGGTGCTTCCCCCCCAGGTTTAGATGCATCACTTGCAAGCCATGGTCTCGCCGGAAAGGACCCGGCCATTGGCCGATAGGAGCGCGGGGGGTCAATTATCTGGGGTTTCGTCTGGAGCTCCTTCGCCTGGAAGGGGATCCGTAGGCATGCAGTGATAATGAGACTAGAGAGAAATCCACTTTGGAATTGCCGTCTTCCCCGTCTCCTCATGGTCCTGGTGGTATTTATTTCAACTGGGCGTCTGCCGACTGTTACCTGCCTTGGTCCCTCTTTCCTTGTAGACAAGAAAAAGACGAAGACAGATCCTCTCTGTGATAAGACAAACTGTAAGTTGCGGGTCCTGCCCTTTCTCTCACAGAGACACCCCTCACGATTGCTGACTCAATCAAGTTCAGTAATATCATATTCTTTTTTTCCAATCCGACGAGCCGCGGTCAATCCAAGGACTGGGATCACCAGAGAAGCTCATAACCTTATTGCAGCAAGTCCCTTCAAACAACGGCGTCCGTTCGCCTTCCGTCCCGCATCCGGGGAGAGCTTCATATCACGCTCGAATCTCCAAAATACGACAGACCTACCTCACAAACGCCACGCTTTGTTTGGAATTATACCCTCATCTTCTGGGGTAATACTTTTCTCTTGGAAACACATCCAGCGGCAAGCCGTCGTTTGAATAAAACCACACATCTATACTCCAACATGCCTATCGAATCACGGTGGTCGGAGCCCATTCCGAACTGCTCCCTGCAGACATGGATCTTCGGCTCCTCCAACGCTCCTCTGTCCGATCGCAAAGCATTCTATGACGCCGACAGGCCAGACACCCACTTCCTGACCTTCTCCGACTACCGCCTCGTGGCGAAGCAAATCGCCCTCGGCCTACAAGCGGCAGGCCTCAAGCCCGGCGACCGCGTCCTCCTCTTCTCGGGTAACAACCTCTTCTTCCCCGTCGTATTCCTCGGCGTTCTCATGGCCGGCGGCATCTTCACGGGCGCCAACCCGACCTTTGTGCCTCGCGAACTGGCCTACCAGCTCAAGGACAGCGGCGCAACCTTCATGGTCGCCGCCGAGGGCAGCCTCGACACAGCCCTCGAGGCGGCCAAGGAGGTCTCCATGCCCGCCAGCAACGTCTTCGTCTTCGACACCACGGTGCCCGGCTCCAGTGCGCCCGAGAAGCCCGCGCGGGGCGGCGCCCGCCACTGGACGGAACTCATCGCCCCTCGGGCGCGGGCCGAGACGTTCGAGTGGGTCGAGCCGGCCGACGCCCGCACGACGACGTGCTGCCTGAACTACAGCTCCGGCACGACGGGCGTGCCCAAGGGCGTCGAAATCTCCCACTACAGCTATGTCGCCAACGGCACCGGCGTCGTAAAAGTCGCGGCCCTTGAGCCGGACCACGAGGCCACTGTCGCCCGCTCTGTCGGCCTCTGCTTCCTGCCCCTTTACCACGCCTACGCGCAGACGTACTTTGTCGCCAACTTTGCCAAGCAGGGGATCCCCGTCTACATTATGACCGGCTTCGATTTTGTCAAGATGCTCACCTACATCCAAAAGTACCGCGTCACGCAGCTCGTCAGCGTGCCCCCGATCCTCGTCGCCCTCACAAAACACCCCATCACATCCAAGTTCGACCTCAGCAGCCTCGAGACCGTCGGCTCCGGCGCCGCACCCCTCGCGGCCGACGTGGCCCGCCAAACGGAGCGCATCCTCAAGAAGCAGGACCTTATCGTCCGTCAGGGCTGGGGCATGACCGAGGTTACCTGCACGGCCATGACGTGGGACCCGAACCGCCTGATCCGCAGCGCCTCCGTCGGCGAGCTCATGCCCAACTGTCAGGGCAAGCTCGTCGATCCCGAGACCGGCAAGGAGGTGACCGAGGCAAAGGTCCCTGGCGAGCTCCTAATCACGGGCCCGACCGTCATGCGGGGCTACTGGCGTAACCCCAAGGCCACCAACGAGACCATCGTCACCGATGCTCAAGGCAACCGCTGGCTGCGGACCGGTGACATTGCCTACATTGAAGAATATAGCACGGGCGGTCTCTTCCACATCGTCGACCGTATGAAGGAGCTCATCAAAGTCAAGGGCAACCAGGTGGCCCCAGCTGAGCTGGAAGCATTGCTTCTTGAGCGTCCAGACGTGGCCGATGTTGCCGTCATCGGGGTTACCATTGACGGAGAGGAGTTGCCGAGGGCATATATCGTCCGGTCAGCTGATACTAATGCTTCCGAGGAGGAGATTGCAGAGTGGTTGGCTGGCCGGGTCGCCAAGCACAAGCGACTCAAAGGCGGTGTGTCGTTTACCGATGTGATTCCCAAGAACCCCGTAAGTCTTGTTCCACTATTGCTTGTAAGAAAATGAGCCTAACAGTGTAAACCAGTCTGGCAAGATCTTGCGAAAGATTCTTAGAGAAAAGGCCAAGAAAGAAGTTGGCGACTCGGTTGCAAAGCTATAGAAAGAGGATTATTGACAAGAGGTACTGTTCCTATTATGGTAGCGCATTCAAAGGCGGAGAGGGTTTACATAGCTTTAAAGTAACATAGCAACTCAGGAAGAACAAAGTCACCAAACCTTAAGAGTGGCTCCCCATTGGGAACTTCCGATAATGTTACATAAATTCGTCTATAACGTTCCACTGACTAGAGCTACCTTTCGCCCACCTTCCAAATATGTGGCTCACTTGAAATGAGCAATAGGGTATCGTCCATACTGTACAGAACCCTTCCGTTGCTAAACAACCGTGAACTCCCTGCCCCCTTGTTACTTTCACGAGAGCGCGCACAAATCATGCCGCCCTCCTCTATCCCTCAATGCAGGATAAAGAACGATGAAAAAACCGACCAAACTTGCCAAATAGCGAAAAACCCAATGACGCCTTGCCTGATGCCAATGCTTATGAAGCTCGATGCTGGAAACCATGATCTTCGACAGTGTCAAGATGACACCTCGATCAACCCTTTCGGCTTCGACGTGACCGAAGTGACCTTTTATTCCAGCCCCACAAGCGTCCCCAATCTTTGTAGACGGGACCGATACCCTTGAGAAAGCGCTTGGTGTAGACCTTGTCTCTCTTAGCAACCCATGACCGTGTTGGTGGTTGTCCGTACTATGAACCAACTGCCAGACACGAATCGAGAACAGAGTCAAGGGAGCTCATATCTTGAGGCTCTGCACCTTCCCACCAGGGCTCCGAGTCAATTTCCATTGCATCGACATGGCCGTTGGGTAGCTGCTCTGTGATGACCGGTTTGATATCGGAAGCTTCCTTCTTGGCTCCAGGAGGTTCAAGGCCTGGTAGCCAGGTGTAGTCGTGCCAATTCTCGAGCTCTCCTTCACGGTAGCCATACGATATAGCCGTATTTATGATGGGGAACTGCGCCA